CCTTTAGGCCTGAAAACTGTTCTTTAAACCTTTGATCCCTTGACCACAGCAGTCGTATATCAGAAATCCCATACAAAGCCATAACCAAGTTATCAATGTCAATTTCCATGAGCCAACCACAACAATCATGTGGAGATTTCTCAAAATCCAATAGACCCAAAGTTAGCAACAGCCTCTCTTTGTGATAGAGTTTAGTTTGTGTGGAAGCTTGAAAAAGGCTACTGATAGAAACCTGTGGAGAGATGTTATGCCCAAGATAGTGGCTCTCCAACCTACAAAAAATGCACTTCTTTTGCTCAGCTAGATTTTTGCATTCACATCCAATCCCTGCACTAGCAGCATTTCTGGCGTTTTCAAATTTTGTCTGCCTTCCACTTTTTAATTGGACTGTCTCAAATACCACTGAAGCTGTACCAGAAAGAGGATCATTTTGTGATAAGCTTTGACAACCACTTTCTCTTCTTAAGTCTTCAAGAGAACAACAAATTTCTTTGGTGAATGCTTGTAGAACACCATCCACATCTGCTTTCAGTTTGGAAGCTGTTGTTGGTTCTGTGAAAGTCCAACCAACCACAATTTTATGTCTAATGGGATGAGTATAGGAGGATGGAGAAAAGAAGAAGTCAAGCTCAGTACCACTAATGAGAAAGGAGTGACAACTTGCTTGAAGCTTTTGAAGAACCCTGCTTGAAAGTGGCATGTTGGCATCTGTTAATGATTTCTGAGATTTTACAAACTCTTCTCTGTGAGTGTTCAAATGTTCGGCTTGCAGATTCATCCTACTCACTGATATGTCTTCTGAATCGCTGTAATTGCCAAATAGTCCAACATTTGTGTCACAGACATTGTGATTTGAGAAGAAACTTCTCAGCTTGTTGACCAGAATAGAAACAGGATTACCAGGCACACAACTGAGACCATCTTCTGGGTAGAGGCCTCTTAAGATGGTCTTGGAATTGGAAATAAAATTCCTGGTTAAGATAAAAAAGGTAAAATTGGAAACTGGTAAGAAAAGACATGGGAAGAAAGCTATGGACATTGTCTTTGCCTGTGCAATGTGATGGAGCTCACAGCAAGTGCATGCATTCTGCTCTCAATATGGCAAAGCAATCTAAATCCAACTTGGCAATTTTTGAAAGGCTAGTCTAGTCAATGGAATTACAAGTCATTCCACATTCCACCCAGTTCATAGTAGGTTTATGGTGAGATTCATGTGGTTTTGATGGTGATAGTGTATTCAAAGATGATGGATAGCATGACTTGTGGGCCATCATCAGAAAACCTTATCAAAGATGACAGATAAACAGAAATGGCCGTCTCTTTTTGAAGCTTCATTTCAAACAAGAAATGAAGCAGATTAGCCTTTAGGTAAGAAAGCATGTGTCCGATCACAAGTTATGTAAACACTATCCTTATTGTAACCGTCAAGACTGAAGAGTGAACAATACATATAATTGTTGATACGATAGAACCATATTTTTGTCAATACATGCATCACAACTGTTTATTGAGTCAAGTTATTCTTGCAATTGGATTAGTCAAAATGTGGTAAGAACATCAGTGACAAACTCGGCTATGGCCTGGTGTGCAAATTTTCTGTTCTTACCACATTTTGATGTCATCTGTGATCAATTACTGAACAGATGTATGGCAACATGGAATCTATTTGATACATTGAATGCTGACACTTTTTTTAAGAAACTTACTGCAAGTCTGGGACAGTTTCCAGTGGCACTCCAGGCACAAACACATGAGTAAGTCCATTAATAGTGTGGAAACCTTTACCAAGCTGTCCACGAAAGCCTGCACTTCTGTAGGAAGTATAATCTACACTTCTAAATGGATATACAGCATTCAAAATTAGCCCTATAATTTTGGAAAGTAAAAAACGAATTTTGATTACCAATGGAGCACACACACTTGGCCAGGTTTGATTTCATTCTTAAACAAAGTGAAGAGGACAAAACCAAGTCCTCCTCAGTTTTGTCCTCTCTCAAGATTTCACTTGCCAGATAAAATTATCCATTTATCTAGAATGCATCAACAACTAAAAATTTGATTGGATTCCATGATTGAAA